TATCGTTTTTTAATCTAATTTCGGTCAGCGATTCAGTAATGAATAATGCATCGGAAAATAATTCAAATTTATCTGTATCTCACTCATTTAAACTGCTTTTTAATCCATCTCTTTAAAACTTCTCTCTGTTAAATTTTAATCCCTACCTTCACTTTTAGGCCTTCCTCTTCTCTCGTCTGGTACCCCTCTGTATAGCTTTCATTTACTTCTCGCATTCGTCCTCCATTCTCATTCATACATAAACTCTCACTAAATCTTATTTTCATTCCCAATGTTATTTTTCTATTTTCTTTTTGAATTTATAGGTCTGATGAATTGGATCGTAATTACGATTCCAATGTAATAAATTATAACCATGGAATATTAGTGTTTAAAACTTTTTATTATATATATATATATATATATATATATATATATATTGAATAAAAACAGACGACTTTAAGGTTCCATGTAATAAGTTATTTCACCACAACCCCTTCAAATTCATTTTTTTTCATTTTTCATTTCAACCTTTGTAAGTAAAGTCTGATGATCCAGAGCCCTTTAAAAGGGTTGCGGTGAAATAACTTATTACATGGAACCTTAAAGTGGTCTGTTTTTATTCAAATTTATTTGCTCTGAATTTACATTGAGCTCTCTGGATATCATCCTCCTTGGGTCTACCCATACGAATTACCAAGTTTTGCATAAACTATATATATATATATATATATATATATATATATTCTAACTTTCTCCTACATTATTGCCACCAGTAAGAATTTTTTTAGTCTGAGGAAGTCCTTTAAAGGACGAAGCGCGATACATATTTTTTAAATTCTTTCTGTTATTCCAACATTTTTTCATATATATACAAATTTACACACACACACACACACACACACACACACACACACACACACACACACACACACACACACATATATATATATATATATATTACTTCAAACGTTATTCTTAGTGCATACCTGCGTTTGAAATAAAACGTCTCATTTTTTTTATTATTATAAACAGGTTGTATTACGTCTATCTGTCTGCGCACCCGAGAAAAATTAAAGTAAACGTGTTACCTGGCAGGGTTCCCAGCCCCCCTATTTTTGTAGGAGAATCCGCCGTCTGATCCAGCGTGGTATAGACCGCACAGACACGGGGAACGTCACAGGCCCGCAAAGTTATATTCTCCTTTTAAGGCATGAAGAATTCCTCGTTCAGTTCTTCTTGAAACTTAAACAAAGCATTCACTAAAGGATGAATAGATTTATTTCTAACCCGACATTTTATTATTAGTAATAAAAATGTGTAAAAAAATAAGTCCATTAATACAAAAATTCTTAGTCGGAAGTTGGAAAATCTAAATAAAAGTTGAACAGACAGACCTTGTCGGTAATGCTTAATAAAAATAAAACCCGTTTGAATATATATATATATATATATATATATATATATATATATATATATATATATATACTCATTGTTCATATGAAAGCTGGAAAGAATATTTGCTCTGCTTTTTTTGCATTTTCTTTGTTTACCTCTTTTTTACAGTTTAATGTGTATTTCTGATTATATATATATATATATAGATAGATAGAGAGAGAGAGAGAGAGAGAGAGAGAGAGACAGAGAAAGAGAAAGAGTCAGAGTGAAATCGAGAGGTGAGTGCAATTTAAGATTTCCTGTTGTTTGTATTTACAGTCGACTGAAATACTCCTGATTTCTTATCCTCTTTGATTAAACATAAAAAGGGAAAACGAAATCGCTGTACACTAATTGAACCGAAAGCATTTGGGACGTTTTAATAAACTTTTTCTTCTAAAAAAAAGAAAAAGAAAAATAACGTGGTGTATTCTCGTCTTTTTAAACTCCCATTTCCTCTTCGAATATTATCCATCGTCTGTTAAATGCTTGGTTGTTAGCAAAAGGGGAATTACAAATGGGAGATGCCAAAATCAAACAAGTACAGCAATTTAAATATCGGGGAAATCCTTTAAAAGAGGACGAAAAGCAAGAGAAAAAGGCAACAAAAATGATACTTATACTTAACATCAGGAAGAGACAGTTGACATTTCTAGGGCACATAATGAGGAAAGAGAACTTGGAAAGTATGATACCCACAGGACAGAATGCAGCAGGGACAGAGAAAAACGACACATAAATTACCTAGCGAGTTTGTGTAAATAGATGCAGAATAAGGTTTAGAAGAGATAAAAAAAAGACATTTATTAAGCGCGACAACAGATAGGAAACTGTGGAGAGCCATGATCGCCAACGTCCAGAAGGGACAAGGTAGATAGAAGGAGAAAATTTTCTTGGAAACAGTATTTTGTAAAATTTTTGGAAAATGTTAACATAGATGTTTTTTCGCTCATCCATATTTGTAAATATTTTCATCGCAATTTGTTCCTTCACACTGCTTCCGCCATATTATTTTTGTTACATACCGTGACTATGAACACTAATGGTTATGTGCCAATCCTCATAACTACGTTAGACGCTATTGTAAGTGGGGGTAATATGCTGTATAAGTAGTCCACTACTAGCAGTGGTTTACCTACTTCATGCCGCTGGCGAGTATTGTATTTTGTTGATGTTATAAAGATTACCATTTCATTTCCAACCTCCGTTTTGGTTATTCCTCATTCCATAAACCTTTTCTAGGTTACAACAATTAGCAAAAGGTTGTCAATCCTTGCTCTAATAAATAAAATGACATGAAGTTTTCAAATGTCATGATTGCTGCTAATTAGAAAAATAAGGATAAACATTTGAATCATTCTGTTGTCGTCGTAGAGGACAAAAATAAATACCTTGTAAAAAATAAAAAAATTAGAATCTTTAAATTTGCGATAACGATGATTATAAACTCTTTAATATGAAAACTTCCCAAACTATTCTGAACTACTAGTTAATATATATATATATATATATATATATATATATATATGTATCATACTTATTATAAAACCCAGGTTGTGTGTGTGTCTGTTCGTTTATATATTGGATCGGATTTCTTACATTTTTCAACCGATTTCAACAAAACTTCACAGGACTATGTAAAATTACCTTGCGGTGGTTCTGACAGCGCCAAAAATTGTAAAAAAAATTGTTTTTGCACGAAATCAATTTGAAAACACGATTAAGAGGCATCACTGTCGCCAGAATGAAAGGGGGACAACTCATATCGAGTTATACTTATTATAAAACCCAGGTTGTTTGTGTATGTGTGTGTGTGTGTTCGTTTATATATGGGATCGGATTTTCTACATTTTTCAACCGATTTCAACAAAACTTCATTTTTTTTTGGCAGGTAGTGTTTCTTATTGTCTTGCACACTTTTTTCTTTATTTTTACATTCAGAAAGCTTTAAAAATTCAATTTACAAGACAATTGTTTATAATAAAATTCTATTCAATCGGTAGACTCATAACGATTGAAAACAATGTTTTTGTTTGAGTTTGGGTTTGACCAATTCGTAAAATAAAACAAAAAACAACAACAAAAAAAAAAAAACGAATTAAGACATGCGTGTCCGTCAATCTTAAACAATAATCTTTGTCAATTTTATTTTTCAGTCTTTATGATGTTCGATACTTGATCTATCTCTTACTGTTACATCCCGGGCAACGCCGGGCTCTACTGCGAGTATATATATATATATATATATATATATATATATATATATATATATATGTGCATGTACGTGTTGTGTGGGTTTACTTATGTGTGTGTCGGAGTGAAAGCAAGCAAAGCTTTTGCTTATTGTGTCTTCTTAACAAACCTCTTCTCTCTCTTTGTGTTATATACTGTGCCTATGAACACTAATAGGTATGTCCCAATCCTCATCAATACGATGGACACTATTGTAACTGGGGCTAAGTAGTTCACCACTAGCAGTGGTTTACCTACTTCACGCGAGTATTGTATTTTGCTTATGTTATAAAGTTGACCATTTCCAACCTCCGTTTTGGATATTCCTCATTCAGTAACCTTTTCTGTTTTTTCTTTTATACCTAAAATTTTATTCGAATAATTTTAGTCTGGCAACTTGGAATCGGATGTATTGGTAGTTTAACGATTATCTGCGATCCGAGTTCAAATTCTGGGTTAGACATTTACGTTCAGTTTCGTACAAATCACTTTGGGAAAGGCATGAATCCGATTCTTCTGTGCCACACCAGCTATAGGTTTAATAAGTAACAGGGTAGTCTGCGCTCTCTAATCTTAATGACAACCTGTCTAAGAAAATGAAAACTCTGAATTTTAAACTGTGGCGAATTCATCGGGAAAACACTCCACTATCTTTCCCAAGAATGCATAGCAATTCGCAGATAATAAAGAAAATAGAGGTGTAGAGGGCCATGATCGCCTACATCTAGAAGGAATATGATATTAAAAAAACATCAAAATCATGATGAAATTAGTCTCTTGATCGACTTTTGAGTGGACTTGGCGGAGCCCATTCCTCATTGCGTCAAACCACAACCTTCTTCCGCCTTGCTTACGGACACGTGGTCGTTGATTCCATCAGAGTTGGTTAGTCAGTCGATGTTGGTCGACCGGCTGATCGGTTGAACTCTCTGCCTTCAGGCGGGGAGGAACCCGAAAGAGGCTACGCCGAAGGGAGGATTCTCTTCGGGGAGGTAAACCGACCCTGAACCCGTTTATTCTGGTTCAATGGGCATATTTTGGGCCGAGCCCATGGGCTCGGAGATCCCACGTTAAACCGACCTTGTGCCACATGATGCCCTCGTGGTGACTAAATATCGTTGATTCCATCAGAGTAACAATCCGCCATAGCCGTTTACTTTACTCTTAGAAGCGCTCCGCTCAATGATGCCGTATTATTACCCTACTGGCTGCATCCATAGCTATGATCACCCGTCTACCCAATAGTGCTAGATGGATGTTGAACTTACATAAATATTGTATTAGGTACATAGAAGAATTTTAAATATATTTTGACATAGTTGAATAGATTTAGCTATTATAGTGGCGCAAACATGGAACTTAGTGTCAAAAGGACAATTTTTCCCTTGACACCGTTTTTATTTTACCTACCTTAACTCTTCGGCAATATTTATTGTTTTTAAAAGCGATGATTAGAATTGTAATAAAACATAAACATATGAAGAAAGTAAATTTATACATTTTTTTGTTCTTGAGAATTTACACGAAAAATATTCAACACTATTTATTTATTAGATTATTTTTTTCACAAGAATAATTTCATATTTACAACATTCTAAAATCTAATACAATTAAAACTAATGCAATGCAACATTTGTCATTAACAAATTCATAAAGAAATAAGTATGAAAACAATTTTTATTCAAAAATTTATAACTACAAGTAAATCTTTATTATTTACCATTTTATAAAGTTCGAATCAATTGGCAATTAGCCTATGTTTTGCCAAACATTCTAATAAACAATATAATGAATAGTGTAAATAAACAATCTATTTATTATTTCAGTTTCAGTTGGCCTCATCTTTATGAACAAAGAACAAAGAAAATATATGAATTTACTTTTATATGTTTAGGTTTTGTTACAATTGTAATTAACCATTTTTAAAACAATAAACATTGTCAAAGGTAGTTAGGATAATAGCGGTGTCAAGGAAAAAAACGTCCTTTTGACACTACGTTATTTTTGCTGGCATGAAGGTCCATGTTTACCTGTTGTGGTTTCTGTTTTCATTTAGATATTTTTAATCTGTAACTTTTATACACTTTTAATGTGTATTTTTAAAGTTTATCTAATATTTACACTATTTACATTGTTCGGAATGTTGTCATCATCTTTGTCATATTCACGGTGTTTCCGACATTGCACACTCTGGCCTTCTTCAGGAAATATATGTTGGAATTTCAAACCGAACCCTTTATTTCGTTCACCAGGGTAGATTGTTCTAGTTCCACATGCCATGCCTTTTTTTGGATATCTCAGTTTCAGTTATTTCCCCTTAGTAACTCAACACTCCAGCATTTTGTTTACCTCTGCTGAGGGCATGTCTGTTGTGGCCAGGTATTTAACTCAGAATTCTTTGGGTCAAGCTCCTGAATTACTTCAACCAACGCTTTTATCCACTGGGCCATATATCACCTGAAGAAGGCTCGAGCGTACAACGCCCGAAACGTTGTGAATATGACAATAAAGATGAGGGCAACTATCCGAATAATGTAATTAGTGTAAATATATACAATACCTCATCTCAGAAATATAGACAGATCCTGAAGAAAGCCGGAGCATACAACGGCCAAAACGTCGTGAATATGAGCATAAAGATGAGGGCAAGAGTCTGATCAGTATAAATAGTTACAATACCTCATCTCAGAAATATAGACAGATCCTGAAGAAGGCCGGAGCATACAACGGCCAAAACGTTGTGAATAAGACTATAAAGATGAGGGCAAGAGTCTGATCAGTATAAATAGTTACAATACCTCATCTGAGAAATATAGTTAGGTCCTGAAGAAGGCCGGAGGATACAAGGGCCGAAACGTCGTGATATGAAAATAAAGATGAGGCCAACAGTCCGATCATTGTAAATAATTACAATACCTCATCTCAGAAATGGAGACAGATTATCAAGAAATATTTTTAAATTCCATTGAGATAAACTGCATTTGAATAATCGAAAAAGTCTGATATCAGATTTAACTGAAAGAATATTTTGAGGAGCTGCACAGGGAAATTTAAAATATACTTCGATATTTGCCAACTATAATTAGGCTTCTGCTAATAAAATTTGAGTCGACTATCAAGTATTGGATATCCGTCAGAACATATCGAATAAGCCGCCATTTTACACCATGTCTTACAATCATTTTGATTGTCTGCAAGAGAAACGTTGAGTGAAAAAAACGCAAACGTTTAAGTTGTTTTTGATTGCATCAGCTTCCATTTATTCACGAATTCTATTCTCCCGAGACATCGATTGTAGGCTATTGTGTGCAAACGCTTAATAACTCAAGCCTTCACGAATTTCGTCTCTGATTTCCTTTAAAAGCAACCAACGATTAACTAACATCTTCTTCCTATTTTGTCTGCAAAAAAGAATATCACATTTTATCAACCATTCAGTCGAGAGTAATCTACGCATCTATCCATAAGACGAAGGGACTGAGAGATTACTTTCTATCTATCTATCTATCTATCTATCTATCTATCTATCTATCTATCTATCTATCTATCTATCCCATTATGTTCATGTCTTCATATATCTCTAAGCATCTATGCCAGTTTGCTCATATCTATCTATCTATCTATCTATCTATCTATCTATCTATCATAGTCTGTCTCTATGTAATTTTATTAATCATTTCACCGCAAGCAAGGTGGTAGTGCCACTAGTACGCAGGGGGGTTACAGAGATTGAACGCGAGAGAAAAGAGTGGGTATAGGGAGGATTGAGGAAAGGATAAAAGATGAATGAGTTTCAAGACAACAGAAGATGACGATTGACGTTGCATTTAAACTTTTGAAGATTGTAGTTATCAGAGGGGCATTTAAGCGGAAGGGAGTTCCACAGTGGGGTGTGCGAGAAAAAACTGATGGAGCAGAAATGGAGGTTACATTTAACTATTTCAACAGTAAAAGAGGGGAACCTAGATGCCAATCTAGTAGCACGCTTAAATCAATGTCGTCAGGACACCAGGAAAAATAATCTCATGAGAGCAGATGCCATGAAAATATTTGTAGACAAGGCAGAGGGAAGCCACATTACGTATGTGATAAATTGACTGAAGTTGAGATGCCAAGTTAGGATTAATTACATTGCAGATCATTCTTTGGATTTTGTCAAGAACCTCGAAATGAATAGCAGAATCACCAGACCAGATATTGCAACAGTATTCAATGCATGGATGAATGGCAGATTTGTAAATGTGAAAGATAGAATCTGACGAGAAAAATCTCGCACAACACAATCAACAAATTGTCCTTGCAGTAGATGCAGCTATTGATTCGATGTATCAGGTCATCCCATAAGTTCTGTCCGAATTTTGAATAAAGAAAACAAGTGACCAAATGTTACATTTAATTACAGATTCAATCAACAAGGTATTTTCCCTGATTATCTATGACTTCCTTCCATCTATTAACAAGCTTACTAATTCCATTACTGTAAATTCTTTTGGCATTGATTCGAAGAACTCACAAATGTCAGTTTTAACCTCTTCCTGTGTTACAAAAGCTGTTTCTTCCAAATGATTCTGTAAGCTACGAAACAAATGGTAGTCTGAAGGAGCAAGATCGGGAGAATAAGGTGGATGAGGAATTTTCTCCCAACCAAGTTCTTCGATCTTTTGTGACGTGATTCTTGCTGTGTGGGGTCGCGCATTGTCTTGATGAAACATCACCTCTTTTCGATTCACTAGAGCAGGTCTTTTTATCCTCAAAGCTTGGTTCAAACGCTCTAATTGCTGACAGTATATTTGAGTATTAATTGTTGCATTAGGTGGTAAGAATTCAAAGTGGATTATTCTATGGCGATCCCACCAGATTGAAAGAAAAACCTTTTGCCCATGAAGTTCCCTTCTCGGCTGTGGCTGGGGCCCTTCCCCTTTACCAAGCCACTGTCTACGACGCTTATTATTTCGATAAAATATCCATTTTTCGTCTCCAGTCACAAGTCTATCCAAAGAAGGTGAAACATGTTGGCGAGAATGGAGAGAAGAGCAGATGTCAACACGAGATTTGAGGTTGTTTTCAGACAATTCATGAGGCACCCATTTTCCAAGTTTAGGGAGATGACGATGAACAGTTGTATGGTTTGAACTGAGAATTCCTGCCAATTCCTCAACTGATAAAGCAGGATTTTCTTCAAGGGCTGCTTCAAGAAGCTTTTCATCAAACTCAACTGGACGCCCGGTTCGATCTTCAACTTCAAGGGTGAAATCTCCACCTCTGAATTTTGCAAACCATCTTCTGCAAGTTCTTTCATTCACACATTCCTCTCCATAAACTGAGTGAATGTTTCTAGCCGCTTCGGATGCTGAGTTTCCTTTCTTGAACTCATAAAGCATTATGTGCCTCAAATGATTCTTGGGTACTTCCATGTTAACAGGGTTTTAATCAAAATTTAATTTTATTGTTCTCTGATATAAAATTTGATCAGTTTAAATGCATCTAAACATAAAAATAATGTTCAGCTCCATTAGACAGTATAAAATACTCTTTAAATTTCGTTCATTTTAACAAAAAGTTAAAATTCGGACAGAACTTATGGGATGACCTGATAATTGTTTCACTTCAAGTCATTCAAAAGCATGAGACCAAGAAGGCGCAGTGAGACGCTATCCTGGAGTCGAGCATCAGCCATGCTGATGGCGGACAGGGAAACTACTCTATGGTGGTTAAATGAGAGCAGTTTGGTTTTGGAGGAACTAAAATTTACGAGCCATTTCCTGCTCCAGTTAACCACTGATTGGGGGGGTCCTTTTCAAGAGCAGCGGGCAGGTTGTCTTTGTTAGCTTTGACAGATTTGCTATTGAGACAGGAATAAATGGCAGTGTCATCTGCATAAATGCCTACTTGGTAACTGATGACACCAGGAGGATCATTGATGAAGATCAGAAACAACGTAGGATCCAGATTGTTGTAGAGTACGAATGTTTTTCTTCCTCCGTATGAATCCGAATACCTCGTCGCCCAGTGTTGTATATGGCGAACGAATTATTTTTCCCTCCGTATGAGTTCGAATCCTCGTCGTCAAGTGTTGTAGAGTAGTTTCACAGTGGAGGCTTGTATTTCACTAAGTCGGTCCTAAAAAGGTTCGACGTACAAAACCTTAGGAACTTGAAATAATAGATAATGACGCAGAGATCTAGTAGTGGTGGCTGGTACTTTTAGTATCCGACTAACGGTCGTCCGACATCGACTGACTGACCAACTCTCTGAGCGACTACAGCGACTCTTACTACGCCTACTTATTATAGGTGGGAGAATCTGTTAACAATAGAATAAGTGTGTTCCACTATAACACAGATAGAGCCTTGGGGGGCACCTGCGTTCGTGTGAAAGGATTTGGAAGCGAGCCCGTTCAGAACGAACTTCATTTCACGATTTGATAGGAATGATTGGATTAAATCAAACAATCGTCCTGTAATACTGTAACCCTGAAGCTTACATAGAAGACCGGCATACAAAACCCTGTCAAACTCCTTTGGGATATCTAAAGCCACAGCTCGAGCTTCGTCGTTATTATCAAGAGCTTGATATACATATTCAGTGATGGCCGTAAATATGTCAGCAGTAGACCGGGTAATGCGGAATCAATATTGTTTATCGGAGAGTAGGTTGTGAGAGATAAGATGCTTAACCACTTCAGCAGTGATTAAAGCCTTGAATACTTTGTCGAAAAGCGGGCGATAGTTAGAGGGGTAAGAAGGGTGTTCTTAAAAACAGGAACAACAAAGGAGGACTTCCAACAAGCAGGAAGCAGAGAGACAATAGTTGTAGAGTTTAGAGAGAACTGGAGTCGGCTTGGGAGCAAATTTCCTATTTCCCGTTACCACTACTTGCCGTATGGGAGTCTAATTTAGAAATGATGTCCGAGAGCAGTGACGGGGTTATGCGCATATCACTCAGTAGAGCCTCAGTTCTAGGGGTGTGGGGAATTATTTGTGGGTACTCCAAATGAGTTGAGTGTTGAGTTGGAAAAGAATTTCCAAGCAAAGCATTCAGCCTTATCAGCTGTAGACATCAGATCTTCGAATTCATTGAATAGAGGGGGGATTGAGGATTTGCTGTTGTTCCGCACACGCTTGCAGAGCCGCCAATAATATCTAAAACCGAACTTGCGATATTCTATACGTTGTTTCATTCTTTCAGCAAACAATAACTTCGCTTCTTTGAGGGCGCGTTTGCACTCGTTACGAGCAGAGACAAAGAGACGTCTGTTGCAATCAGACGTGCCGGTCTGGTAGAGCCGAAAGAAGTAATTCCTGCCGGATATAGCGACCGAGTATACGGGTGAGAACCAAGGATATGAATACGTTTTGATTTGGTATTTCTTTGTTGGAATGAAAGTATTGATGCCGGCTTTCACCCAGGAGGAGACCTCAGACGCGCATTTTTTAATAGGAGGATTAAAAACTTAATTCTAAGGGGACTTCACGAAGGAAATGACGGAACGAGTCCCAATCTGTTGATAACAGAAAGATATTTTGTTGGTAGCATGTTTTTGGCTGGTAGGGGATCTGAAGGAAATACTTGCAGTTACTACCGCATGATCAGAGTTGCCAAGAGGGCAGAGCTGTATAGTAGAACAAGTGTCAAGGATAGAGGTAAAAAAGAGATCGAGAAGAGAAACGTGTCCGTCGGGGTTATTGGTGAAACGCGTGGGGAAGCCAACCACTTGCGTGAGAGACTGAGTGATTGAGAAGTTAAGGGTTTTCGATGCCAGCGAGGTCAGTGTTTAAACCACTTGGTATGGTGGGCATTAAATGCACTGAACTCGAATATGTTTGCAAATGGGTGTAGGAAGATGGCCATTATCGGAAATACTATTTAGCATGCAACGGTCTTGAGATGAAGGGGGGAAAGTAGAGAAAAGGAGTTAAATAGAGAGAGACGGAGACACATGTACAAATGGTCTGGAGATTCAAGAGAGTTTGCTAGCCAGTCGGAGATATTCGCAGACATAAACTCCCAGGCCATTCATGTAGCCCTTTGTAAAGAGAGGAAAGTAGCCAGGAATTGAGAAATCAGAGGAGGGAATTGAAGAGTTAAGTTTAATTTCGCAGAGAGCTTTGAGACTTTTCGAAGAGGAACGATTCTATACTGCAGAAGTTGGTACGAATACCACGTATATTGGAGAAAGAAAAGTTAAGGGATTTAGGTGTTTTTTGTTGAACTGGTTTAGTTTTATATCGTTGATTGTTTATAGTTATGACGTGTTATATTGGTAAGGAAATACCTAGGGTAGTAGTAGAGGTCGGTTATCTAATGTAACATGTGCAAGAATGGAACTAGCGAAGGTTGCAACATAGTGTGTCCTCACGGTTACCCACCAGACGTGTTTGCAGGGATACTCTTCCATGCGCAACATGGCATTGCAAGAACACCGATATTACGCAACCGTTGATCTGAGCAGCCTCTCAAGACGCTACGCACGAGTTTGGGCTCCTAACTACTAGTTGGGCACAGCAACAAGAAAACTGCCAACCCGGTACCTTCAGTATGAAGAGACGTTGCCACCAGCCATGAATATCACAAAAAAATTCATGACAGCATCACTATTAAGACCTGAGAAAAGATAAGGAACCGGTAACTCCTTCCTAAACAGGAAACAAGGGATGAACCTCTACTCCTGTTCAAGAAAAGGAGAAGGAGTATGAACCGGACGATAGGAGAACTTATTAAAATAAAGAAAAAAAAAGAAGAAAACAAAAAAAAAAAAAAAAAAAAACGGAAAGCAATCACGGTTTTCACATCCAACTAAATTAATTCAAAGAGGGAGCTTTTTTTCAGATAACTTATTTTGAGAGTCGAGATGCGGCCCACGGATGCCCCAGAACAAACATGTATACATATCTGTGTGTGTGCCGGGTTTGGGGTGTGGTGTTGTCTTAAAAATTATTGAATACAAAATAATTAAGTTTTAACTTAATATAAGTTTGAATACGAACTCTTTCAAACTGAGTTTGCAAGTCCCCTATCAGTAATCATCAAAAATAAGTTCTATTAAATGCACGAGCCACAAGAATCAACAAACAGTTAATGTGCAAGAAAATTTAAAAAATAAGAAGAGAAAAAAAAGAAAGAAAAAGAAATAATAGGAAATCGAACATATACATTAAGTTAGGTGAGAATAAAAGAAAAAGAAAACAAAAATTCATAATGGTCATTAACCTTTCCTGAATACATTTAAAATGGGCGAAGTTTTCTGGTGCTTGAATGAGGGAATACTAATAAAACAGGAGTGAATTTTGGTGGTGCTGGCTTTAGGTAGGAGGAGACAGGAATTAAATCCCTCAGGCCGAAGGAAGGGGTTGGATTATGCTAAGACCACCATAGTGACAATATCACTTTTGGGGGGAATGGCCAGTCTGCATCGTCCAGTAAACCTCTCTAGAAAAACTTCATTAAATGTACGAGCCACAAGAATTAATAACGAGTTAATATGCAAGAAAGAAAATAAGAAGAGAAAAAAGAAACAGTAGTCAATAGAACATATCTACCTTAGTCTGTCTATACTATCTATCTATCTATCTATCTTAGTCGGCAGTGGATTATGCGTGCATAAACGAAGAATTAAGTTAATCTTCAAACACGGATCTACAAATTTCAATAATTTTTATTTATTTGGGTATTATTTTTCTTTCAAATTGAAACAAAATAAATTACAGATTGTTTACGAACAACTTCACACAAAATGTTTTGTGTATCTTTTTTAACAGTACAACTGAATGAATTGCGTTAGTATAGCATAAAGAGTGTTTATATGTGTGCAGCTGTATCTGACACGATTTCACATTGTTTTATTTATGTGCATGAATTGTAGTCGTGGACCTCATGAACGAAGACAAGGAAGTTTGCTACTGTCGCCGTTTGTAAACAAGTTAGCATACACGTTTTCTTTTACGTGTCAATATAGTTAAACATAACTTTTGAAATAATTTATACTCGAATAAATATGCAAAAGATGTGAGCAGTTAATTAATTATGAGAATTTCAGTTTCGTTTGTGTGACGAACAATCGAACACACAATCTGGTCAAAGGTTCACTGAAAGGCTAGTTAATGGACAAGCATTGATCATATTTATAATAACATAATGGACACTAAACTTTAGATTTATTTAATCTTGAAATTATTGGCTAATATGTATTTTCCCAATTTTCAAATATTCGTTTTAAGGGGGGAATATTGTCAAACATATTCTGAAGTTGAACCTCCAAAATTTCATTTTAAGAGAGATTTAATCGTCTGCCAATTCAAAGAAGACCGCGCACCTAATACGACGTCACTGGTTGGTAAATATGTACGAATACAAAAATTCAAATAATTGGAGTCACTCTTTGTACAAAAATTGAGTTACTTTCTGGGTGAGTCGGTCAGTGTACAAAAAATGTTTTTAGTGACATTACTTGAATCTTTTAGATTTTTTGTACAATTTCGAAACGGGATTCCACAAGTCTGTATCTATCTATCTATCTATCTATCTATCTATCTAGCTAGCTAGCTAGCTAGCTATCTTATTCTGTTCCTATCTATCTAGCTATCTATCTAGCTAGCTTATTCTGTTCCTATCTATCTATCTATCTATCTATCTATCTTATTCTGTTCCTATCTATCTATCTATCTATCTATCTATCTATCTAGTTAGCTAGCTAGCTTATTCTGTTCCTATCTATCTATCTATCTATCTATCTATCTCTATCTAGCTAGCTAGCTAGCTAGCTAGCTAGCTAGCGAGCTAGCTAGCTTATTCTGTTCCTATCTATCTATCTATCTATCTATTGTCCTGTTCACATGACAATTATATTCTTCTTTCTTTTATCAACAATTAATTCTTACCCCTGGAGCTCGGCCTGTCGCCCATACTCCATATTAAACTCAAATTGAGCCCACCTGTAATGCATATATTACAGCATCAATTCAGTACGACTGTAGGTAATGACCCCCTCTGGCGCCAAATACGCCATTACTTTTTGCTCTGACAACCAGCAAAGTAGTTGTTCGTCCAAGCAAACCCTTTTGTTGTCCTCATAACACAGGAACCCTATTCACCCATAGAGGCAGAAAGTCTTTGGTCGCTGCTTATATTGAAAGAGTCATTCGCAACCGGCAGCAATCGTCAGCCTCCATTTTGAGCGACGACTTTTTTATACTCTCGGACATTTGTGGTGGTCAACTGGTCAATTTGTTGCTCTTAATCCAAAATGAAACAGCATTTTTGGTGCGAAGAATGTATTTTTTTGTGTGGAAATTTAGATGTTAATGCTTTCCATATTGACATTCACACACATTTGTTGCCCATAGATTTCGCAGCATTATCTGGTGACATCAGATCTAAACGCACAAACCTGTTACTCAGCATTAATCTATCTATCTATCTATCTATCTATCTATCTATCTATCTCAGTCTGTTCTTATCTATCTATCTACTATCTGAAATGAAAGCGCATAGGAAGTCACTGAATGTGGATTAACATTTCTTGATGTTTGCTGAACATTTTCTGAAGCCAAAAAATGTATGTGAGGAAAGGTTGTTGGAAAAATACTCTATCCAACGATATCTATCTATCTATCTACGTTCTTATTTACCGATGAGGAAAGAATGAATTGGAGAATTTAACACGCAGGTAAGCGTAATTGTGAAAAACAGCGAGTAATCAGCTTAAACAGTTTAAGTGACAAGATGACAGAACCAGGACCACAAATGAAAGAAATGAGATAAAGAGCAACAAAAGACAAAGAAGCTGTGGAGAGGCATAATCTCCAACATCCTGAAATGTCATGGCATATAAAAGAGAGATAGAAAGGCAGCTCAATGGCAAACGATGATGATTACTGTAAAAACGCATCAAATGAAAGACGGTGAAAAATCAGTGAAAGATAGACGCCATATTGCAATAAGCAAAGCGTCACCTATACTTGGAAGGTTTATTTTTACAATTATTGCTGTATTCCGAGAAATGCCGACTGAAAACACAACGTTCTTCCATCAGACTAACAAGATCAGGTGTCAACGAAATAGAATGCAACGATTATTATATGTCCGACATGACGTCATAAATTGATATTCTTAATATTGGAGAACCCCCGTGTTATTTGACGTTAAAATAAAAAATAATACAAAATAATGATAAAATAAATAATATGTAATCTTGTCTAAGGGAAAAGGATATATATATATATATATATATATATATATATATATATATATATATAGATAGATAGATAGATAGATAGATATGGGTATGATAAAAACATACGTATACGCTCATATACTTGCACGTACATATATATATATTTTCACAGGTGTTATAAAAAACACTTCTCAGTGTTATATAACAGAGTTATTTAGTATATATTAGTAAACTAGCAGCATAGCCCAGCGTTGCCCGTACTTGATTCAAAAATCGTACGGCTCATACAGCAATCGCTATCACTTGACTTAAAATATTTTTGCCCTTCCTTGCCTTTAAAGGAGTGCCCTTTGCCGTGCTGATGTTGCTACATGCCTTAAATCTTGCCTATCTCACACTGCGAATTTTTTCTAAGATAAATTATACTGATTTGTGTAAGTTGTCAAGGATTCTTTTATGGTGGTTGGATTTTCTGTCGACGTATCTGCTCTGCGGTTTTAGGAGTATTTAATGTATGTTTTATATAGGCTCTTACTCAGGTCTATTGTAACGTCTAGCAAACTGATCACTTTAGCGTTAGTATTGGTGGTAATATTCAGTTTATGGTCCTTTAAAAATTTATTTAGGTCCTTTCTCATCCGGTCCGCCTCCCTTGGTCCCAATTTCCGAAGGAGAATTATCACGTCGATTGTATATTCCATTGTTTTTTTTCTATGTCAGAGATAAATCTAAGAATCCATACTAACAGTATCCCTACAAGTTCGCATTCTTTTGCAGAATCATGTGCTACAATGGATACGCAAAATTCTAGGTTATTTCTCTTAGTCCATAAACTTCCGTTGTGGAATAGTATTGTTTTCTGTGCATGTCTAATTTTTACTTCTTGGTCAGAAATATGGCAGTATTTCATTGCTAAATTAATAGAGGCTATCAGAATATCTTCCGTGATGAATGGGTAGAAGTCACAAATAGCAAACTTCAACAATGTGCATTCGTCTTTCTATATTATTCAACCATTCAATAGGCTCGATTGTATTTCGCTAGTAGTTGATACCTAAAGTCTTTTTAGTATATATACACGCTGATGTTTTTGCTGATAATACCGATGTTATTTTTGGATGGATTGAGCAGTCGGTATTGGGGATTATTTAGAAAATTCTTCTTGTGGTCTTTAACCGTGACGAATGCTCGCTGTTTGGGTAATTTTGGTATTTTATCTGTTTTCAGCTCAGTCGCGATTGCCTTGGCATCACAACTGATAGTTTTTTCCCAGTTGTCATCCACTTTTTTTTATAAAATTTATTGACTTTTATATCGATGACTTTATAGTATAATTCTCTGTCGATGTAATAGTGGTTACCATTCTTATCCGATTCGATAATTATCTTATATATATATATATAAATATATATATATATATATATATATATATATATATATATATATATATAATATTAGTGGTCAATATATATATATATATATATATATATATATATATAAATTCCCAAGTGGATAGAATCCAGGTAGAACTCAATATCCAGGACAGAGTAAGACTATAATATAAAAGGCTCAAACACTAATATTTCATGGTTATAATTTATTACATTGGAATCGTAATCACGATCCAATTCATTGTTTTATAACGTGTTGTTACCTATAACAGTTCCGATTTAAACCGTTATTTAACTCCTCTCTTTAACACTTCTCTCTGTTAAATTTTAATCCCCACCTTCCCCTTTAGGCCTTCCTGTTCTTCTTTCTTTTGTTACCCCTCTCTAGAGCTTTCATTTCCTTCTAACACTTGTCTCCTACTCCCACACATACACTCTCACAAATTTTTTTTTTATACCGGGAGTTATATTTTTCGATTTCTTTTTGAATTTGTAGGTCTGATTACGATTGCAATGTAATAAATTATAATCATGGAATATTAGTGTTTGTTCCTTTTATATTATATACAGAGTGGACGAAAATTAGGTGGACAGTAGGAAGAATAAGTCAGTGTATCTGTTATATCATTACAATGCTGTTCATTATAACTATGGCATTTGTGGTATATTATTTTAAATTTTATAACTAAATTTATCTAATTTTTTTTCGGATAATTGTATTAGTAAATATAATTGTATATGTAAACTCAAACAAATTTTATCATTTACTTTCATTCTACTTTTACTTTTCTGTATATATATATATATATATATATATATATATATATATATATATATATATATATAAATATATATATATATATTGTTTACACGTTATTTTTATAGATGCAATTTTAGTAGATGCTCTGTTTTTTTAATCAAACAGTATTTATTTCATTTACCGGCCTGAATATAATCCATTTCATTATATGTTGTCATTGTCTACGTTAAGATACATTAAGCAGATATGATCGATCGTGAAAAATCATCATAGATTGAGTGCTTAAAATTTCCTTTCTTAAGTCCTCTTCGTCACAACCTGTGAACCCCTCCCCTGCTCTTTTGTGTACCAAGTTAATGTTAGTGAGTGTCGTTCCCGACCTGTTCCCGGTTTCTTCTTCTGGTTATGATCCAAGTTGAGATTCCCAACCTCCCCAGTTTGATTTTGCCTCCATTTTAATCTCGACTGGTTCAGTCTTTGATTTCCCCACGCCGATATTTATTTAATCTTTCCCATTCTGTTAGCTTCTTGATTCTGACTTACGAACATCTCTACATAGGAAATTTGTACATCAGACATTTTTAAATCATGGTGTTTATTTTGCATGTTACCTTTGTGAATGGGGTATTGTGGTAGGAGTTAAAGGCGAAGGTTGTCTTCTTTTGGTATATGTGTTATTTGTATTGAATGAATGGGTCGTGAATTGGATTAGCTTTGTATAGGATAGTTAATGATAAGCAGTCTCACCCACTCTCCACTTTTTTAATCATGTGAAGCAATTATTGTATTTTACAATAATAAATATTTACATCATTAGAAAATTTAAAAATAAACATTCTGAAATATTTTGATTGTTTTTACCCTTATTGAGTATATGGTAAAATCTAATTTACGGTTTGAATTCGCCTCCGTTATATTATTACTAAATTACTATTATATTATTACTAAATTATTTTATTTCTATTATATTTTATATATATATATATATGCATTCATACATTTAATACATTTTCTGTTTATACGTTATTTTTACAGATATAACCTTATTTCAGTAAATGATCTGTTATTTTTTTTTTTAAAGACATAGCATTTACTTAAATAAATTATATCCATAAAATAACGTATAAACAGAAAATATACTAAATAACTGTCGGGTATAAGCCATTTCATATATATATATATATATATATATGTGTGTGTGTTAAAGATCAAATACAGCTCTAATATGAGTCGGAATCCGACAGATTGATAAAATACAGAAAAAATAGGAAACATATCAATCTAAGATGTTTGATTTCTAAAATTTCGGCAGAGATTGAGAAGTGAAACATGTCAGACAGATATACGTTTCCTGTCGGATTCCGATCTATATTTGATCTTCAACTGCCACACACACACACACACACACACACACACACACACACACACACACAGATATATATATATATATATATATATATATATATATATAAAAATGGAGAAAGAACAGATGAAGTAATATTCCGCTCTTCGTAGCATTTACTTTTCAAAAGTGCTAAATACAAAGTAGAACAATATATTATTATTATTATTATTATTTTATTATAAGATATAAGAAAAAAACTTGTTGAAATCGCTACTCAATAGCTTTCTTGTTTCGGCACTATATTGTGCCTATTCAGGCGATGGTAAGTGACTGGTGATTAAATAATTTTAAAAAAAAATTTCTGTTGAAATTAACTTTACGTTTGATTATCCTTCTTCCTCTCCCCTCAGCGTGCTATGAAAAACTGAACATGTTGTCATATTTGTCTACAATCACAATGCATTTGTTGCTTACATGTTTCCCGTATTTGTTAATGATGACCTGTCTAAGTTCTGGTTTATCATGTCATAACCTCCCCACTTCCCTCCTCTTAGCTTAATTTTCTATTCAGCGTAGATCCGACATTTAACTGGTTGTTCAAGACAAACCCAACAAGTCTATTTTTAATTCTGACGTATTGTTTTCTCAAACCCCACTATTTATCTTTCGGAAAAGAGGTAACACTTTGTTTTTGAAACTTTCTTAAAAATTATTTAATCCCAAGTCACTTACCGTCGCCTGAAGAGGCACAACGTAGTACCGAAACACGAAAGCTATTGTGTAGCGATTTCAATATGTATTTGTCATATCTTATAATAAAATAGGATACATGTATATCATACTTATTATAAAACCCAGGTTGTATGTGTGTGTGTGTGTGTGTGTGTGTGTGTGTGTGTCTGTTCGTTTATATATTGGATCGGATTTCCTACATTTTTCAATCGATTTCAACAAAAATTCACAGG